ACAGTTGTCTGCAAGAAAAGCAAGCGGTAACCCACACATAGGGCAAAACCGGGCAGTTCATAACAGGAAGCCTTCCAGACACGGCAACACCTATACTTTCCTACTATTTCTGAAATTATAGTGCTCTTCCTTTGAGTATGTCTGTGACGACGCACTTTGCTCTGATTCGCCTACATTAGTCTGAAGGCTTCCTAGGACACAAATACTGTCCCTTGCCCCTACATCAGAATTTGTCTAACAGAACAAAGAGGAGCCTCTTAGATTCTTGGTGTTAAGTGGATCAAATGACTAGGCATTTTCAAGTTCCATTTTTATGTGCTTTCTCAATAATACCCCCATGAACACTGACTCTTCTCCGTATTTCTCTGAAGAATGCAAGGTTGTGTATTTTCAAGCTAGAACACGCTTAAGACCCAAATCATTCCAGGTTATAGGCATTCCTTGCAAACTAAATATATGAAAATCTGCGTCTATATGAAAGAAATGGGAGGGTGTTTATATTTTTTTACATTAGATTCCTCACAGGGTTCTTTTATGCATTTGTATACATTTAAAATAATTCAACAGAGGGGCACCTGACCGGCTGACAGAGGGAGAGAGGAAGGAGAAGCAGGTTTCCCACTGAGCAGGGAGCCTGACGTGGGACTCGATCCCAGGACCCTGAGAATGTGACCTGAGCGAAAGGCAGACGCTTAACCAACTGAGCCACACAGGCGCCCCAGTAACGCATTTATGAAGATGGACCCACCCACACTTGTTCAATTCCACTCTTAACACCAGATATTCAATAGCCACCTCCAAAGGATCCACAAGGGGAGGTTGAAGTCCAGCTTCTTAGCATGTCTGTGAGTCCTCCATGTTGTGTAAGGGCCGACTCAATGCTCGTTTCACCGTGTGAGCGCCCCTCAATGCATACACACTTGTGTGTACCCACACTACTTTCTCTTGTAACTTTTGTTATGGACTCTTGGCTGCTTTTCTCCTTTTTTCCAATGCCCTTCACTGTATTTTCAGTCAAAATCTATTCTTCCTTGGCCACCCTGTAATTTAATCTTGAGATAATTTTGTCTTTTTAAATTTTTTACAGCTTGCTGAAGGTTTTTTGTTTCATTTTTGTTCTGACATTTTGAAAGATTTCTTAAAAGATTTTATTTGAAAGAGCGAGCGTGTGCACATGCAGCAGGGGGAGGGGCACAGGGAGAAGCAGACTCCCCACTGAGCAGGGAGCCCACGGGGCTCGATCCCAGGATCCTGGCATCATGACCTGAGCCGAAGGCAGATGCCTAACGGACTGAGCCACCCAGGCGCCCCTGACATTTTGAGTTTTTAAGTTCCAGTGTTAAGTTTAATTTCTGCAAAGTCCTGTTTAAGGATACTTGGTTCAGGCTAGTTCTTGTTGCAGTTCTCTTCTGTCGTATCGTTGAGGGGAGACTTTTCATCAGCTATAAACGATTCTCATTTTGTTTTCTAATGGCAGTGTTTATAGATGTTGTCTTCCTTTTTCTGCTCATTTTGAGAGGCATCCTTTTCTTGACTTGCAGAAACAGTTGGTTCTATCCAGGCAGAGAGGAGGGGTTTGTGTGGCTCACTGGAGTTGATTCACTCGTGTTCTGTTGGTACAGGGAAATGCAGTATTCCCCCCAGAGAACACTTTTATTTTGAGCTGGGAGGGGTTGTTCTCTTCTGATTCTGTGATTTTTTTCCACCCCCCTGTGAGACCCTTGCTTCCTTCTTGCACTTTACCATCAAGCCTCCAGGAGACCTCTACCCCTCCTCCCAGAAACAGTACCTTCCCCAAACAGCCACCTTCAATCTCATGAACTTTCAAACTTCTTCCTCTCGACGACCCAGTGGCCACTGCTCTGCTGAACCAGGGTCAGATTTATCAGTATAGATCTTCCTTGACTTACAACTGATGAACCCATGGTAAGCTGAAGATGCCCTTAATACACTAACCTACCGAACATCACAGCTCAGCCCAGCTGACCTTGAGCGTGCTCAGAACACTGAGGTTAGCCTACAGTTGGGCAAAGTCATCTAACACATAGCCTGCTTAATAATAAAGTGATGCATAGCTCACGTAATCGCCTGAATACTGCACTGGAAGTGAAAAGCAGAGAGCCTGTCCGGGCACAGAACGGTGGGAAGTGGGTCGGTTGTTGACTCTCGTGGTCATGTGCCTGCCTCGGAGCTGAGGCCACTGCCGTCACCCGGCATCATGAGGATGTACCACGTGATCCGTGGCCTGGGAAAAGATCCGAACTCAAAATCCCAAGTACAGTTTCTACTGAATGCGTATTGCTTTTGCACCATTGTAAAGTTGAAAAATCGTTGAGTCAGCCGTCGTCAGTCGGAGACTGTATTTCCCTCACTCGTGGTGGGGTCCCTGCCTTTCCCCCCCCCCCGGTGTGTACTGCCACCACCAGGCCCCTGTTGCCCTCGTCCCTTTATTATACAGTTTCCACCTGACTCTGCCTTCACGTGGGTCCTGATGCTGGCCTCAGAGGCTTAGTTCTCTGCTTTCCTGCAGGTTGAACTTCTGTGTCTCACGGTTATGCTGCGGGCATGTGTTCTAGGTGACTTACTCGGTTCTCCTTATCTGCACGTGTTGGGAAGATTATGAAAGAGATTCAGATTTAGGCGGCTGCCGATATTTCTTGGAAAACCAGAAGCTCGAGTACCTCCCCTTAGACACGAACATCCAGCAAGAATAACCAGACGTGTGAGCAAAACCTCTAATATGAAAGAGAAAAAAATGAACACAAAGCAAGGTTAAATACTGTATCTATTAAGAACTGGTTCTCAAATACTAAAAAAAAAAAAAAAAAAAATCAGAACAAAAGAGAGCTCCTGAAAATTAAAACCTGATAACAGACATGAAACCCTCGCTGGCAAAACTGGAAAAGAGATGTAAAAAAACGTAAAGGACAAAGACACGTAGTAACTAAGAGCAAGAGGCACAACCCAGTAGATGCAGTGTCTGGACCATGGGAGTTCCAGAAAGAGCAAGAGAACGGAGGGGGGACATAATTAATGTAATAGTTTCAGACAATGCCCCCACGTGTAGGGCATGAGTTTGCAGTCCACATGCCTACCACAGTGGCTGACAGGGGTATCACACTAAAGCACACTGTAAAACTACAGAGCTCTAGGGACAAAGAATAATTCCACGAGCTTCCAGAGAAGCAGGCCCATCCAGAGAGTCAGGCATAGGAATGGCTTTAGATTTCTTCTCCTGAGCACAGATTTTAACTCTTAAGTGGTTCTTCGGGTTTGGCTGCCTGATTAGTTCTCAGTAACGTCATCACGTTGCCACACGTCGGACTTCCCGGGTGACAGCTTGTTTGCTAACCGGCTCCCCACATGGAAGATAAGAATGTAGGGCCCTGTCCAGCCCCGCCCCCCGGCCGCCCACACCCCCATCTTCCTCATGCAATTCCGTTGTGCCTTAGATCAGGCCGACCGTTCAGACGACTGGTGGTACTCGGAGCTGGGACGCAGACTAAATCGTGAGGACTTCCACCCACGACTGGCTTGTGTCTTGTCCTGACTGTCCCAGGTTCCCCGGGGCCCCTAGCCCACAGCAGTCTGGAGCAGCTGTCTCTCTGCCTGCCAGCTAGGCAGCCGTCTTCCTGAGGTCTCCTTTCCCCATTGTTCTGGAGACCCCCTCCACCACTCTGCTGGGTCTCCTGTTTCCTGGATCCCTTAGCTTCCCCTTTCTCGGTTGACTTCCTCAGTCTGGGGGAGCATGGCCTTCACACGTCTTCCTGCGAAAGGGGATGTGGGTGGTAAATTTTTCAAGACCTGTGGCTTTGTTTTACCCTCACACTCCATTGATAACTTGCCCGAGCTTAGCACTCTCGTTTGGAAAGCATTTTCCTTCAGCAGTTTGAAGGCGTCGCGCCTCACTGGCTCTAGGTAGGCCCTTCACGTCATTTGTCCAATGGTTTATCCTTGGGCACTTGCCATACTTCAGGTGAAATTTACTTGCTGGTGAAGAGGAAAAGAATCTGCATTAACACCAACAGCAGAGTGGGGGAATGGATTCCTGACCTTGGATGTCCAAAGAACGATCCTGAAGTGGTGGAGTCTGGGCATCTCCTCGTGAGCGTTTATAAGTGAACTGAAAACCTCCAGTCCACAAGGACATGATTAACCATACGGTGTAAATATTTACCACCGCGGTCTATGGCGACCACAGAGTCCTCACGCTTGGGCCATGCGCACCTTGGAAATAATCTGTACTTCATTTAGGTCTCACACGGCTCGGCAGGTGTTTGTTTTCAGATGAGAAAGGCTCCAACGGTCACATAATTAAGTGACTGGGCTAGAACTAAACAGAGATTTGTCAGTCCTGTGCTCTTTTTACAACACGACCTAATTTAATTAGTCTTCATCTCTGACTCATTTGCCCTCTCCTTTCATGCATCCCGCTATATTTCAGTACATTTTCCCAAATGCCCCACGATAGGCTAGAACATAACAAAACCACCACACTAAAGGTCTTTAGCTAAGAGATAAATGAACATGTGTACTGATCTCACATTACAAGAGCGCTTATATTTTAGTCTCTGACCATGACCACACGAATTAAACTTTTGTGCACACACACCCAGGACACCTGTGACAATTACAGATCTATGCCTAATGCCCCTTCCTGTTCCTGCAGAGGGGTGACGCAGGTATACTCAACAGCACTGGTGTTAGAGTAATTTTTAAAAATTCTATTGAAAGGGCACAAATCCAAATATTGACAGTCTATACAAAGAGCTCATAGATCCCGTGGACCGGCCAATTACCCCTGGGATGTTTCTAAAATTGTTAGACTCCTATGGTCACTGTCCTCTCTCCCTTGTTATCATTTATAAAAAGCAATACCAAACGTTCGGGACTAAGCCAGAGATGTGACGTGACAGAAAAGCACTTTATCTGACGGAAGGGCCCATTAAGAAAGTCAGTGTATGATGAAAAAAAAAAGACAGCTGGAAATAACAACCATAAATTTTTCAAGATCATTTATACATCTTTTTAATTAGATTAGCTTTACAAGCAACTTGAGAGCTCTTTCATAATGAAACACTGCTTTTCAAATTACATGACTTTACCTTCTGCGTATGAATCCTGAAATTCTTTGCCTGCTGTTGATAAAGGTCTGTGTTTTACAGCTGGTTAATGTGTTGAATGAAAAACAGCATTAGAAGCTTTATCTTTAACCAGGATTAAACACATATAGGCCACGAGTAGTTTTAAATTTTGTTTTAAATAGAGTCCTGCTTGGTGACAGGTTAACAGTCCCACTAACATGAAACGAACAGATTTTAAATGGATACTAAAGAAATGGCTATCCTGGATTTCCTGATCCTTTCACAATCATCTCCAAGAAATTTGTTACAATTTTCTGAAAAATACAAATTTTAAGACCTGCCTGGAAAGCACACACACAGACAGAAGAATCTGACACTTCGCACAACTGCAGAGATACACACGTGAATGACACAGGGGCTCCCAGAAGGAAAGGCTGTTGCAGTCCCACCCTGGCAAGCACACAAACCGCCCCCCCGGAACAGAACACAATTTCTACTAGACCTAAAAACGACAGCACTTTCGAGTGGGGGCCCAGCGCAGCACGCCGCACCACAGACCAGAGGGCAGAGACACCTTGCACCCCCAGGTCCGGCCGGCAGAGGCACTGACTAGAGAGAGGTTTACATTGCATTGTCTGGAACACAGAAGAGGAAGGAGAACAAAACCGAGCAGGGGCAGGAAAGACAACAATAAACTCGAATTTTCTCCCGCAAGTTCTCCTAAGTGAGTTCACGATACTGAATCTTTCATCCCGCCCTAAGTCCACGCTGTCAGTTTCACTAAACAATTTTTTTTTCATGTTTTACATGAACAATAGCAATCTTTTAATAAAAATTACTGAGCTTTCCATAGAAAAGGTCTCTAATTGAATACAAACTATACAGATGCTAAAACTGTCATGAGTTGAAATATACAGAAGTATTTCTGTACACACATTTTGGCAAAGATCAAGGACAGAGATAGAAAACTGAAGTGGGCAAGGTCTAGACCCATAATTCATGCTAAACATGGATACCACCCTTTGGGCTCTGCTAGAGATCAGCCCAGGAAAACAAAGTCCTAGACATCCTTCCCAGTTCATACATCAAAAAACAGAAGTCTGGGAGGCCTTGTGTGATAGTGTTAATAGTCCCTCTTTTTTTCTGAAAAGTAAAAGTCACAGAACAGAACAGAATAATAAAGCTACCTGGTTTTCCACTTCTTTTGTGTTTTTAAGCTAAACGTCCAGCTTTCAGTACTGACAAAGAGACAAGCATCGTGCCTGAGGAATGCCTGCCCTGGCTCGGGTCCGAGGATTCGCTAACGTTCGGTCTATTACCAACGCGGCTCAGCCCCGGCGCTCAGTCCCCCCCTGAAGCTAGCCAACAGAAGCCAGGTTCTCCACTGCAGACCACATGCGTCACAGGAGTAGGAAGAAAACGTAACAGCAAAATTGGAAGTACGATCAACGTGACAGGAAGCAAAAGGAAAAGTCTTAGGAAGGGGACGTTGTCACCTTCTACATCTACAGGATATACCTGAAAGCATGAGAGAGCCCTTTGTCTTGGGAACTTGATGCTGAGGACAAACTCAAGTTCATTTAGTGCCAGTCACTTTAGTCTTTTAAAAATACTAACTTAAAAGAATAAAACCTGGGTATTTTTTTTCTTATAAAACATGAACCGAAAGTTACTGGTAGTAAACGGTGATGGTTTTACTGTTAATATTTCGTTATGAACAATGTCAAAAACACGACAGCAGCAATCTTTAAGAGCTCAAATTAGTGTAAAAGACAGGACTACAAAACAATCTGAGTTTTAAGTTGGCGATTAAAGTGCTCCTTTTCTTATGGTAAGTAAAAAGGAAATGAAAGTAATCATCAGTCACTGGCAACAATCATGATAAGAGGTCTTTTTTAGGGCAAAATTTAATAGTACGAAGAAGTTTACAAAAATAGATTGATGCTATTTGGGGGAGTAATACTGTAATTTTTTCTCAATGCAGTTTTGATGTATTGTACCTGATCATACAAAAATTACTTCAAATTCAAACTTGACTATATAAAAAAGGGAGAGATGAAATGAACTCATCTAGATGACAGATCTGGCAAAATATAAGAATGAAAAACTTCTACCTAGGGCACTTATTTCACGTCCAGATGTCAACCCCATTTTCTGCTGGTAGCTTATATTCTTCCCGTGAGCAATCACAGGTTTGGAGTCAATCATGCAGTACAAAGTCACACAGTCAAAATCTTCTTTCTGATGCAACACGACAAAGTTGTTTGTTTCCTTATAAAAATGCCAACTGGTTGTCTATTTTCCTTTATCCCATTTATTCGTATTCACAAGTTAACAAAGAGCGTCAACAATTATTGTAGGTGAAGTGGGGTATTGCTGGATCAAAGGCTCTATAAGACGTCTTTACTGATGGAATCAGAAGGCTTATTGAGTTCAACCCTCACACCTTTTTCACCTGCAAGGGGAAAAAAAAAAAAATTCATTCATTCATTCATTAAGCGCAGGAGAGCATCTGTTATTCTGATACTGTTTCCCACTGAGCTCCTAACAGTGTGCACAATGCCTCAGCTTTGCAAACATACATCATCTGAAAACTATTGTACTCGCTACCCTGCAGCATTGTTATAATGAACGTGTTACTCTGAACTGGTAAACCTTCAAAGGGAAAAGCCATTCTCTACAGAGATAATAATTTTATCTCCTTTTACTTGAAAAGCAATTTGAATTGCTATAAAATAGCAGTGTGTTCAGCGTCACTGAAAGCACACCACTAGGGTTCTGCCACAAATAATAACTTTAAAAATACATAGAAAAAGCAATGCACATCCAATTTTGTAATTTTACAAAAGGCTGATGTGGGATTATCAATGGCTCGTGAAAATACAGCGAATCAGTAATGTGAGCACTGAGCAGACTTTTGGAGCTATAAGGTAGGGTTAAAGAAAAGAGGGGAGTGGTCCATCCGATGGAAAACTAAGACTCCCTGCTTTCAGGAGACCGTTCGGGGTGGGAATTGGGGGTGGGTGGGGCTCGCATCCTGAAGGATCTTCAGATTTGGTTCAAGTGTGTTGATTTATGGACACCACTGGCTGGCAGGGATGGCATCGACACGCCTGTCTGACTTATTGATTTCGGCATTTCAATTCATCTCCTTTGTATTCATTTTCTTCGTGTCCACATTCAACGTGGAAGACCTGGATATTCTTTAGAGCATGTACGTTTAAAAAGGAAAGGGTATTTATTGACTTCCTTCTAACGGGAGAATGAGAGGAAGCCAGATGGCAGTTAAGTTGGGCAAGTTGGGCAGCCGGTGACTGGAAAGGGTAATCACAGAAAAACTCAGGTTTCTTGCCTCAAACTTTCCTCATCTTTGGACAATGTTGTTGGTTAAAGAGAACAATGAAGATGACTTGAGAGAAGTCCTTTTTTACATAAGGGAATTAAGGAATCTGACAAAAACAAGGAGCAAGTCTTTGTGGAGTTAATAAAGACCGTGTTTGAGCTCACGGCCAGCACCGCGGGACTGCGGGGCGCCTGCCTTGCGGGATACCCTGGCCCCAAATAACGTTTACCTGTTAGATATTTTACTTTAGCTCGTGCTCTCTCATCTGCATCAAAATACCAAACAGTTATTGCGTACCTAAAAGAAAATTTAGAATAGGGTAAGAATGATCACACTGGGGAAAAAATAGTGGTATGCTCTTGCAATGGTCTATTAAAACGTGTAATGCCAAACAATGCCTTGACTGGATGTGTCAGGGGATAACTGAGCGCAGTAACAACCCACCTCTCCAGGAACCTCGTCGCTCAAGAGCGCAGCAGAGACCCAGGAACAGCCGAAATGGATGTTGCAAAGTTGAGGAGTTTTTAGGGTTTTCTTAATACCTACTTAACCGGCTTGCTTATCTGTTTTGCAACCCCACAGCAGATCAGAAACAGACAGGAAGAAAGGAAAAGAACGGCCCCGGCAGAAAAAGCACAGTATCACTAGCACAAGTTCTCAAAGAGAAGCAGAAGAGGACCCGAGGCCAGGGCCGGGTGGCGAACGGGAGGGCTCACGGTTCCAATAGCTTCTGAGGACATCACTGTAGGACAGCAAAGACCAACAGTGGAGGTTTGTAATTTTATAACCTGGTGTCATCAAGAAAGAGTTAAATTATGCTTAGAGTTTTGGAGATTTTTATCAAAATACTTATACTGTGTTTTGACATTTAAAGTTTATTTAGCTAAACTCTATTCCTCTGAAAACTTCACTTATTTGGAACAGCTCGTTCCACAAATAAAGGAAAACTGGTTTATTAAATACTACAAGGCACGCAGTTACAATCCTGGTCCCAGTAATGGGGGAAGTGTACATACGCCATAGGAAGTAGAAACACACTATACATGGGAATTCCTTAGTAGAACACAACAGTTAGTTAAAGTATCTTGCAAATTTTAGCCAGTGTTCCCTGGGGCCGGGGCGGGGGGGAAGGGGGCAACACTGGTCGAATGAAGAGCCCACACAGTGACAGACCTGAATCAGGAAAGGAGTCAAAGGCAGAGTAGAGTCAGAGCCTGGAAGTCTGGACAAATGGGGAAAGTGAGGCCCACAGATCACTCAGCTGCTGAGTGATGACACTGAGGTCAAAGTCTGGCCTCCTGACTTCCAGATTCTGCTCCTTCCATGTAGCCTCTTCTATTTGCCCAGGTGGCCTTGGGAATGGGAAAGGGGCACAGATAGATAATTTTCTCTCTTTTGCCCATGCCCCAAACTTTCAGTTACTTAGTAATTAAAGTCTTGAACTTGAACAACCTTGACCTTTCTCCCAGAGCTTCCCTAACACTATCATAACTCCTTGCTTCTGGTCATTCTGGGCCCGGCTGAGCTCCCCTCTTCACTGTGAAACCTGGCCCATCTGTTCCATCTATTCCAATTGACACCATTTTCTCCCTCCTCTGAGTATCTATCCTCCTAGTAGTATCTATCCTCCACAGTTGTCTGGCATTTACTACCTAAAAATGTTCATTATTTCTTTATTTAGAAATGATACAAGCGGCCATACTCAAGATTCCATACAAGGGAAGGTCTACAAAGCAGGTTCTAGGTCAAAAAGGGTTTTAAAGAAACACCAGGGGCAGAGATGGGCACTGGGATGCCGGGAAGAGAGACGGGGGATTTAGGATGGCACATCGTGTGATGGGACAGGGTGCCCCCCTGGTTTCCATTCATGGCTTCTTAGGATCTCTAGCCACAAACTACTCAGCTTGCTGCCCACTATGTGAATTAGGGTTAAAGGCAACATAGCTCAGGAAGAAGCAAGTTATAAAGGAGTGCCTGGTTGGCTTAGTTGGTGAGCATGCGACTCTTCATCTTGGGGGTCACGAGTTTGAGCCCCATGTTGGGTGGAAGGAAGGAAGAAAAAAAGAAAGAAAGAAAGGAAGAAAAAGAAAGGAAAGGAAAGGAAGAAAATAAGGAAAAGAAAAGAGAACCAAGAAAAAAGAGAGGTGACAATCAAATCTTTGGAATTCAAACCTCCCGGGGGGCTGGCCCATGCCTACTACCACCAGGAAAAGCCAGCTCTTCTCTCGCTGTGACTATGACTAAGCCTCTTCTCACCAGACCTAACAACTGCAGGCCTGTAACTCACTATCACAAGATTCAAAGTCCCTTCTATAATGAAAAATAGGTATTTACAAAATAGTGCAATTCTTCTACAAATATTTATAACAATGTCTGCAACATCTTCTAGTTTAAGAGTCTTAACATTTCAATGCAGAAAGCGTCAAAAAGTATAATAAGGCTCCTAGATGCTTATTATTAAAGCTAAAGCGTTATTTTTCTAACATTAACTCCCCCACGCGGCAACCTTTCTTCTTCCCTCTTCATTTCTACTCTCCGGGTGCCTCTTGTTTTTCTGCTTTAATTTCCCTACATTATCCCTTTCATTTTCCTCCCTCACTGCCTTTGAAAAGCTGTCCTTTTCATTCTCTGTTGAATCTTTCTGTCCCCCAAGTGAATCCACTCACAGGATCAGAATGGATTATAGTCAGAGACGCACAAAATAATGAGACAGGCTGGAGGAAGGAGAGGACCTGTACTTCCACTTCTTACCCCAAATGGAAGTGGTTACGCAAAGTCACAAACTTTTAGCGCTAACTGGGAATAAATCATAAATAAAATTATTCAAATTGAATAGTTATGACTGAAGCATTGTGATAAAGGTAACTAAAGAACAGGAAGACACTAGAAAACTCTCAGGTATATCCTATCTACCCCCTCCTCTCCTGCCATAGTCTTTACCAATTTTTTCTTAAAAGGAATACTACACCTTGTAGAATATGCTGGTTGTACTTCATGAGGGTTGCGACGGTCAGACCAGAAAAACAGCAGTCTATCAAATTTGGGTTCAATGTCAGCAAACTGGGCTTTGCCTTCTGGAAAAATTCGAAGTATACCTCCACTTACCTATGGAAAAGAGCCAAATATGTAAGTATGAGAGCAAGAAAGCTACAAAATGAAATTTAGGGAGGAAAAAAAGACGATTTCAGAAACAAAATTCTTAGTTGGATTATTCACAAATGTTATCTCAAATAACAAGGTATGAAGAGGAGTTGAGATTCCAAGCACATGCACTGATACAAGGAAAAATTCATTTCTTGTTTTAGGGATTTCTGTAGCTACTGATGAAACAGAAGTATTATCTGAATTCAAAAGGCTTAAAATGACACTGAGAACCAAGTTGTAAAAACTAGTACATGTTTCTTATTTAGGGATGCTTATGATGTGCTTAATTAGCCTATTCTTTAAAAATGTGTCCGTTTCAAATCATCTTGACTAAATTACTCTAAATGGTGATGTCAAATAAACGGTTTATTGTATTCTAAGGTTCAACAGTAATTAATAAGACAGTCACAAGTTTAATGCCTCTTAAAGAATTCAACTAGGGACGCCTGGGTGGCTCAGTCCGTTAAGCATCTGCCTTTGGCTCAGGTCATGATCCCAGGGTCCTGGGATCGAGTACCCATGGAGCAGGGAGCCTGTTTCTCCCTCTGCCTCTGTCTCTGTGTCTCATGAATAAATAAATAAAATCTTAAAAAAAAAATAATGAATTCAACTTCATCAGTAGAAAGTGTCATCATTTATTGTCACCACCATCATCACTGTGGTCATTATTAGAGACCATAGCTCTCCCTTTCTAGACTGCGCCTGACACATTGATGGCTACCTGTTTACAGAACTGGACTCCATCCAGAAAGGATAATTACTATTTACCCAAATACACATCCATCTCTATTGGGGATTAGATGGACTCACCTATTCATTCCAATACCAACTGGGTGTTCTGGGACCTGAGGTGGACCCCGGGTACAGAGTAGGGAATAACATACATGGATGTTGTCCTCATGGTATTTACAATCTGGGGGGAATTAAAGCGAGGCCAAACCCACCCACAACTGAGTAGCCCTTCACCCTTGAAGAACTAAACTCCTAAGCAGGTAGATGCTTAAAGTGAAAGGAACTTTAATACTTAATCAAGACATCATGGAGGCTGAGCCTAGAATCTGTAGTTAGGCAAGCTGTTTATCAGGCTCATCCTTAAGTTAAATTCAAGCTACTTGTACCCTTGCCCACCACCTTCCTCAGGTTCTGCTCAGATTGATTCCCACGGCACTCATGCAAACATCTAAAGAATCTCTAGACTGTGACCAAGAACACATCCTTTTCTTCCCCCTGACCTCTGACTGGAGTCACTGGGAATATCACAGGTGATCTGCTGAAAATGTTTAAAAAGAGATAATTAAGGCTTCCATTCTTCCTCTGGGAAACATTCCCTGACCCCTGAATTAGGTGGCCGCCCAGGCGGTCCCAAAGCAATCTCTCCTGCCTGCACTGGGCCTAACCAGTTGTCATTGTTAATCTACTGATCTGTACCTTCCACTCGATCCGAGGCTCTATGAAGGCTATTTCTATTTCTGCTCTATCTCTAGCACCCAGAACAATGTCTGGCACACTGCACATATTCAGTGCAATCTTGCAAAGAAGTTTTCAGTTCTACATACAAAAATACTAATAAGGACTTTTTTCAGCTTATGCACTAAGTTAAAAACTACATATTAATGACCCTGGCTAGGTCAGATCAAAATTAAAAGATCAGCCTAGAAAGGACCTAACAAAATACAGAAGTTAGGAGTTACTCAAACATATTTCTAGCTTTCAAGATATTCACAAAATTGGGAAAAAATAAATTTTTAGGGCGCCTGGGTGGCTCAGTCATTAGGCATCTGCCTTCGGCTCAGGTCATGATCCCAGGGTCCTGGGATCGAGCCCCACATTGGGCTCCCTGCTCCACGGGTAGCCTGCTTCTCCCTCTTCCACTCCCCCTGCTTGTGTTCCCTCTCTCGCTGTGTCTCTGTCAAATAAATAAAATCTTTAAAATAAATAAATAAATGAATTTTTAAGTTTTAACCAAAATTATACTAATCTGTTCTGTACATTAGGCTCAAGGCAAATGACCAGATTTATGTCTCTATTTTAAACTCTGAAAGCTATAACGGAAAAACCATGCTTGTAATTTACTTAATCTACTTAGCAGTAAAACTTACCTCCCTTTTGAACTTGGACAGAGGAGAATCTTTAAATCAGTATGACACAGAAAGAGCATGATAAGCATATCCTAAGTTTTAGGACAGGACTAGGTTTTTACATATTTAAGACTTGGTGGTTTTCATCTCTGTGTATATGTTTGTGTGTGGGGGGGGAAGTGTTTTAAAGGTTATTTGGTTTTTAAAAAGTGCCCTGGCTACAGAGGTGTGTTCATGCTGCGAAATCCACTGGGTTATACATTGTGTTCACTTTTCTATTTGAATATTTTGCTTCAATAAAAGTAAATAAAGATTTCTAAAAATCAACCAAAAATTAGTTTAGACAACCTCCAAAGCAGTAAGAAAGCATGACATACTTCTGAAGTTTCAATCATTTAAACTCAAGTGAAACTCAGGCCAATATTAAGGAAATAAATATTTAAAACAAGAGAAAATTAAATGTATTGTACACTCTAATTGGTTTTAAAGGATTTGTCAGTATTGATAAAACTTCGTTTTTTTCCATAATCAGGAAAAGAAGGAATCCTGCCTCCAATATTCGATTCAATAACCCAATGCCAGATAAGATCTCCGCAACAGAAATAAGTAGGAAATAATCCACAATAGCTGTTTATATATAATCTCTCTCAAAAGCCATTATAAAGCAATTATTCGCAGAGGAGTTTTTTTTTTATTAAAACTATTAAAAGGCATATATTTTAATGAAATACATTTTGGTAACAGTTAAATTCTGGGGGGGCACCTGGCTGGCTCAGTCGGTGGAGCACGCGACTCTTGATCTCGGAGTCGTGAGTTCGAGCCCCACGTTGGGCGTAGAGCTTACTTAAAAAACAAAACAAAACAAAACAACAACAAACAAAAAAAGTTAAAATTTGGATGCATGCCTCAATATCTGAAAATAAGGGAATCCACTTTTTGAGATAATATTATTATATTTCACTTTACAAAGATCCACTAATACCCAAAACTGAAACAAATCTAAGAAATGTTTAACTATTCCATGTGTTAAAGCAAAGGCAGTCTCCCTAAGAGGAGTATGAGTCTTAATAGCTATGGGGGAAAAATACATGGTCAAGTGAGTTGCATACCTTGGCATCCCAGTCTTTATTAAGATAATATATACACGTCACACATCTTCCATCTCCATTTGGATTATCAACATGACGTACATAACCCGTTCCATTGCCTGGATAACAAGCAACCATGGCCTGTAATAATAATGATGATGATTTTAAAAGTCTATACATAGATGAATAAAAAAGGCAAAACAGCTTATAAAAGAAATCTCTGATTTTTGGCTACTCTTACACTTAAATTCTTCTAAATAAAAATCATATTTTGTAGATAAGAAGAGGCAAAGATAGCCTATGTTGACACTTATAAAAAGAATACAAGGGTAGGTTGGTGAATAATCCAAGGCCTGGTGAGATCTGCCTAAAGGTGAAGGGAAAAACCCACATGGGAGAATCAGAGGCCAGAAGGATTGCAGGACACACTTTCAGGATCTTTATTCACACTGATGATCAAGATCAAGTGAGTTTTTGTTCTGCTCCATGGGAGGCTCTGTCCTCCCTGAGCTTCCTGCAGAAAGAACACCTGCATTACTGTCTGACAGCCAACTACCTCATCTGACACTGTCTCTGAATTTACAAGGTCAACTCCAAATATTCACTCACTTAATTTCCATGATTAAAAAAAAAGGCTAAGTGACAAATTAGCATGTGACTAATTCCTCTTCAAACCAGAAAATAATTTTTTGCTCACATTGTAATGGATATAGTTCAGAAGATTGTTGGGTATTAAGCATGAAGGTGCAAGAGAGGTCCAAAATAAAAAGCACCAGAAGAACTCACGTGTTCTAGAACTGTCATACATACTAACCGAATGAAATTAGAAAGAGTGATTTCACAGAAAAAAAACTCAGGAATTATGAAGAAAACAAAAACAAAGATGGTCAAGGTTACCACTTATTCCTGAAATCTTTTATTTCTCCAATTTCTTCATGTATTGAAGTCAACAGGTCAGTATTAATGTCAGTGAATTAGTATAAAGCTATCAAACAGTAGTGAGATTACATCATTATTTAAGATAAAAGGCAAATGCTAATTTTTAAAATTCATATTCAACTGATTAGTGAATAAGTAACTCAGTATTCCACCTCTGGGAGACTAGGAAGCATTTTAAACCTGAAAGCTTAAAAAAAATAAAAATCACATTTTCCTAGACACCCTGGACCTACTGCTTTTTCAGAAGCAGGATTTTTGGTGAACATTCGTATGTCTCTATTTTTCCTGATTCCAGACAGACTTAAAATGCTTTCTTTTGGGACTTGAGGTTGTTAATAACAGGCAGAATAGCATGGGTTTAGTGGATTTAATATTGCTCAATAAAAGATAAATAATTTCCTTGTCACTAGCTACTAATGTAAGGCACATGCAACAGACCTTGAACAGGAACTATAAGATACCAGTTTAACAGCGCAATTAACCCACTTGTGATTAATAAAGACACTTATCGTAAATTACATGATACAGTATTATCCACAAAAAGAATGGAAAACAAAAAACCCCCAAAACACAAAAACCAAAACACCCAACCTGAACTCTTCTCTAAAGTGGTCTCATCTCCAAAAAGTTCACTCAGGCGTCTCCAACTATCTCGTAACCTCAGAATCTCTTGTGCGAAGAACAAAGGGGAAAATCTTTCTTTGTTCATCCACCCCACTCCACCCCACCCCCTCCCATCCATCCCATAGCAAACACCTCCTGAGCACCAACTATGTATCTGAAAGGCCGTGGTGGGAAGAGAGGGGGGCGGTGACTACAATGATGAACAAAACAGAGTCCCTTGCTTTCATTTATAACCCATAAACAAACATGTATAATACACTGTTAGGCAGTTATCTTTTCATAAAGTTGAAGGATACAGAAAACAACAGAATGATTTCTAAAACAGTGGTCAAGGAAGACCTATGTGAGGGGCTCACATTGAGCAGGGACTTCATCGAAGGGAGTGGCAGGTTGTGCAAATATCTGTGGGGTCAGCATTTCCGGCCGAGGGAAAATGAGAGCAAAGGCAGAAGTGGGTGGGCCAAGTGGTAAAGCACTGCAGGCCAGCTGGACTGAATGAGCAAGGGCAAACCAATGGAGGGCTCAGCAAGCCCTGGTCAGGACTTTGGATACTGTTTTAAAAGTGACAGGAAGCCAAAGGAGATCGATGATCACGGAGATCAATGATCAATGTTTTAAGAAAGTCAGTTTCAATTCTGTATGAATAAAAACTAACAAGTGCAATAACCTCCGTATCACCCACTACCTAGTATTTTTTGGATGTTGACTATTTGCCACACGCTCTTTTAAGTAATTTGTGTGTACTAACTCATCTGGCACAACCACATGAGGTAAAAAGTATCATCATCTTCATCTTCATTTAACTGTTAAGGAAACTGAGGCCCTGGGGGCGCCTGGGTGGCTCAGTTGGTTAAGCGTCTGCCTTCGGCTCAGGTCATGACCTCAGGGTTCTGGGATGGAGCCCTGCATCGGGCTCCCTGCTCAGGGGGGCAAGCCTGCTTCTCCCTCTCCTGTTGCCCCTCCCCCTACCCATGCTCTCTCTCGCTCTGTCTCAAATAAATTAAACCTTAAAAAAAAAGGGAAACCGAGGCCCAGAAAGGCTAATTAACGTTCTCAGTGTCTATGACAGTAGAGGGAGGTAGGAATGCAGGCAATGTAGTTTCAGAACCCACATAACCGCTACTCCAGACCGTGGGCGGGAAGGAGAGAAAGAAGGTGGCTGGCTGGCTACTGCAGTTTCTAGGAGAGTAACACAAAGGAGGGCCGCCCAGGGCGGCAAAGTGGGGAGAACTCTGAAGGCAGAAAACCAGCGTGACCCGCTAATGGATCGGAAGTGGAGAGTAAGAAGAGTCAAGGACGGCTCTGAGGTTTTCTCCCTATGGAATGGAATGGATGGGATTAACACTTTCCAAACATGGAAAGACGAGGTGAAGGGGTGGTTTTAATAACGCGTCATGGAGGAGAGGAGTTTCTCAGCAATGGTCGTGAGGAGCCAGACACCCCAGAACAGAACAAAACTGCAGACATCAGAATTATGCCTCAACATGCGATCTGTCTGTTATCAGTCACCTTGGGTGACATGGTGGTACCCAGGGTGGCGACTGGTGGAGGGATGCAGTGAAATGAGAAGAGACCAAACAAGCAGATTCTGCCCCAACCTTCAACTAGGGGCAGCATTTAACTGCAAGCTGGTACATAACTGTGAGGGAAGCAAGACAGGAGTAAGAGTCTCAGAAGATGGCCAGACAAGCCCCTCCAGCCATACAAGGAGAGACTACAGGAGGACAGAGCCTAAGCACACCCAGAAAAGACAGGCTGTCACAAAAAATCTGAGACCCAGGGGGCCACACTCCTAGAGTTCTGGGGAAAGAGAAACTCTGTAGGAAACCTGAAAAGGTTTGGAAGGGTCATGAATTTATTCAAGTAACTGCACGGCACAGTGACGACACAGTGACACTGCATTTAGTAACTGATGCATGTACCGAGACTCTTCTCCATTGGGACTACAGCAAACATAAAAAGGGTGTTTCTCTAGGTATGGGGATTGAGTGCATTTGTCATGATGAGCACCGGGTGATGTATGGAAGTGCTGAAACTAAGGTAACCCTGTATGTTAACTAACTGAAATTAAAATCAAAACTTAAAAAAAAAGGAGGGGGGAACATTTCTCTAAGTTTCATGAAATGTGGCAGTGATGAAGCTTACAACCAGTATTCACATTTAAACAGTTATCCTTAGCTATGATCTGCATCATCAAAATTTTAAAGTTCCTTAAATGTAACACAGCTTTTCCAGTTCTGAAATAATATTCATGCTCTACTTCTTAATTGGTTAATTTTGTTTTCCTGGTGCATTTTATATATATTTGTGTAAAGAAGACTCTGATGTTGCTGTTCCTGTTTTGCTTGCTTTTAATATGCAACTAATATACTCTTATTCACAATACTTTAGTAAATTCAGTTTCTTTTCTATTAACTCCTTGGTAAAGCAACTAATAACCATTCATTCTCTACTCATAAGGTGCTCCTTAAGCATCTTACTAGTATAGATGTCATTGACAGCATTAAAAAATATTTATGGCATTAACAGGAACTTAAATAAAAAACTTTAAACAAAAGAGTGGAAAGCACTACTTATGGCGTACCTACCATTATCAGCCTACAACAAGGGCTGCTACGGTGTCAGTCTGAAAGGACTTAACTGGAAAGAAAAGAAAAAGTGGGCACACACAAAACAAATGATGAACTGAGTAGTATAAAAAATAAAAAGAATTAGGAAAAAAAGGAAGTTTTCGTGTGGGATAAAATAAAATAAGGGGACGAGGCTTTGAGCTACATAGAATACCTAAGGTTATCTTTAAAGAACAGATGTGATTTGATAAAGGTGAAGGGAAGAAAAGCAAAGTGTCTGAAGATTACAAATACAGCCAACAGTTAAGTGACAATGGGGTAGCTTTTAAGAAGGCAGCTTCTTTATTCTAGGATTTACATGGAAGATATTATAAAGCACACTGCTTTGGTCTGCATGTGTGTACCCCCGGATTCATTTGTTGAAATCCTAACCTCTAAAGATGATGGCAACACGAGGGGCCTTTGGGAGGTGCTAAGGTAATGAGGGTGGAGCCCTCAGGAATGGGATTAGTGTCTTACAAAAGAGCCTGTGGAGGGATCCCTGCCCTTCTAACCATGGGAAGACACAGTGGGACGTCGATGGCCACGAGCCAGGAAGAAGGCCCTCACCAGAAGGCATGGAGACCTTTATCTTGGACTTTTCAGCCTCCAGGACTGTGATAATTTCTGTGGTTTGTAAGCTACCCAATCTGGGTTTTGTTGTTGTTGTTTTAATAGCAGCCCACATGGACTAAGCCACATCTATAAAAGATAAAACTGTTCCAACAGATTTACATTAGATGTACCAGTTCTAAGGATAAGGAAATGCATTAATGTCTATCAAGAAAAACTGAAATGAGACTTATTAAGGATTGAAGTGATACTGCCTGGCTGTCCTGTCCTTTCCCAGAAGCAGCAGGACCAGAAATGACCCTGCACTCCTCTAAGGTTTGGGGCAGAGGACAGCAGAAGAATCCAGGCATTTGTCTGAAAAAGAAACAATACAATTGCTCCTTTATAATTCTGAGG